CTTCTTTTAATCTCTGCCTCTCTCCTTCAATTATCACAATGTCACCACCACCACTGGGAAAGTTTCCTTTTGGTGAATTAACAGGAGAAGAGCTTTGCAGCGGGTAAGCTGGCGCTCTACTCTGTCATTGTCATGGCGGTGGCTCTGACAAAACAGTTTGCGTACCTGCTTAAGTATTACAGAAATTAACACCTCCCTTCCAGGTACAGTAATCAAGAGGGTGACGGGAGACAATTAATTAGGTCCATCTGCATCACTGCCTTTACATAATTAATGGGGCTCATTACTGAACCACTAGCATGATGTGGAGCATGCTAGCACACTCACTAGCTCAGAGCATGATAGCACTGAAAGCACTAGGAAAGAGAAGATCTGTGTTTGTTTGTTTCATTTTGGAAAAATGGGCCTGTAATGGACTAATCTGCAGTGTCGCCTGCAGTTACCTATCAAAACCTAAGTTTATTCCACAGGTTTTGTTGGCCTCCATGCTAAGCCATCCTAAAAAACAATGACAGTCACAGTTCCCTTAAAGGTCCAGTGTGTAACATTTTGGAGGATCTATTGGCAGAAATGGAATATAATATTCATAATTATGTTTTCATTAGTGTCTAATCACCTAAATAGAGTTGTTGTTGTTACCTTAGAATGAGCCTTTTACATCTACAGATGCAGTGGGTTGTCGTCTATGCAGTCTACCATGTTGAACTGCTATGTTTCTACAGTAGCCCAGAAGGGACAAACCAAACATTCTCCCTCGTGCTTGGAAGGGGAGGGTGAAGAGAGGGGTTTGAAATCTGCAACTACACCACTAGATGCCACTAGATCCTACACACTGGACCTTTCACTGGCAGTTTGCTCTTGAAGATGGCTTTGGCTGCAATCTCTTTCTACATGTTTTTGACTTTGAACCACAGCAATTATCTATAAAGACATGTACTTTACTTTGAGTGTAGTCTTCTTATTCTTATTCTTGGACAGGGGCCTTAAGTGTCCAGTCAACCACACTTCTCCATAAAGATATAATAATATTACAAAAATGAACATAAGAAAACACAAGTATAATCTCCAAACAATTTCTCTTGTGGTTTAAGCAAGAATTGAACAAAAGCACACTAAGTGCAGAATGTGTGACATCTCCTACATATGTAGATAGCTGTGTGGTACAAAAAGTGTGAGGTAAGTGTTAAAGAATTTCAATTATGAAAAATACCATAATTGGTGTGTGAGCTAATGCCCCCTCTCTCAGCTGTTATCCACAACACTTGGGGCTACTGATCTTTGACGCAAACTCATTCTTTTCCCTTCCTTCCTGTGATCAAATTAAAGAGCACACAAGTTGATAGGTCCCTGACTCATTCACCCTCTTTGCTTAGCCAGTAAGCTCTACTGCTGACATCTTAACCTGAGAGTAATGTTTAAACCTCGAAGCAACTCAAATGATCATATGGCATGAAGGAATCTATAATATAAAGTTAATTGGTGAGAAAGTAAAAATTAGATTATGTTTTATGACTGCCTTGTGAAAATTACAAGTTTGATAATAATAGGCCATTTGCAGGTTAGTTATTGAATGTGGATTATTTTTTTATTGTTTCACTGCTGGAGGGAGATACAGCATCAGAGACAGTTCTAAGTTACAGTGCAGCACATCCAGAAAATTTGTTTCAACCTAATTGATTATAATCATTTTTTGCTTTGACTTTACCCTGTATTGTGTTGTTGTCTAATGTAAACCGTACTAATTTCATGATACACATGAGAGTGGGAAATCTCTGATGCTTTGCACATTGCATACATTTCATCCATTAATGCCAATTTATGTTCTCTTATGTAAATCTTAGATTCAGATCTTTTTGTGTAAAAAAAAAAGGAATAATTTGCTTGTCCCATTAATGAGTTTTCCCATTATAGTTGATACTGCAGGTAATGTGACCAGTGATGACAGTTAAGGTACAAGAAACCCTGAAATGTCAGGCATAAAGTGTGTTGCCTGGTCAAGCATAGTGAAAACTGGCTGACAGATTTCTAACTTGTTTCTATTAAATGTTTCCTGACTGATGCACAGTCAAGCAACAAATTGCTACCTGTGATCCAGTGCAGCTTAAACATCTCTATACGGTGCTATAGAAGTAAAATTGCTGCTGCATGTTATAACATAATTCAAATTAGATTAACCTTAAAATACTTTCGCTTGTGATTCTCTAAATGATTTTGAGTTGCCTTGTCTAGCACCTGACATACAACTGGTCTCAAATTAGGCTAAAACAAACAAGAGGTATTTGCAGTTCCTGTTTGTTCCAAATCTGATTTGTTGAAAATGTCATACATTATCCTTTTAAGAGTGTACTGTTCAATAACTTTCTAAAATTGGCTCAATATCAGACTGCAGCTGTTCCTGTGAGTGCCTTGTTTTCCTTTTCCTCATCCCTCCTTTCTCTCACTCAGCTAATGAAGGCCTTGTGGCCCACTGTTATTAAAATTACGCCCTTGCCTCTGATATTAATTGGGTCCGTAATAAGGAATGCGTCAGATTCATTATTTAATTGCAAGGGCACATTTGGAATACAGTTTCTGAAATGTATTTTTAATGAAAAACACTACATCCTGACCTAATCATATCAACCTTATTCTATCTAATTAAGGATGCAAAAAATCATTAGAGTTGCAAAATATTAGTTTCAGCTCTGTCGGGCTGCTCCTTTGCTCGCCTTCATGAATATATTTTTTTCCTGTCTATGATAAATAGTTAATGAGGGAAAAATGACAAAAATTTGCATGTAGGCAAATTAGTCTAATAGGGATATGTCTTTGCTGAGTTAGGAAAGTGACCCTTTTCACAGGAGAAATTGTTACAATAATTATGAAATAATGGCAAGGCCCATCTTATTCTGATGAAAAATGGCTGGCTTGAATAATGTAAAAATCATAAAATGCAATAACCCTAAATTTTCATCATGCTGGAGAACGTGTTAACGTGTTAGCATTTTATCAGTTTAATAATGCCAAATTAGGGACAATATGAAGTATGCAGTAATTGTTGCTGTGCAGGGAGATATGCAGTAATGCAAGGATGATTTAGCAGTGCCACCACAGCAAGAGGCCATCAGTAGCTAAATGAAGCATTTTCTTAATCACAAACTTTGGGGGTGTAATTTCTTCCAAAGTCTCCAAACATTGGGAGGTTCAATTTTCTCCCAATAAACAGGTCCATCACCATCCCATTAGCAGTAGTGTAGTCACCTCTCAGAGCCAGGGTTGCAGTTCATTAAGGCTTGCAAGACAGGTGTAAAGTAATAGGACTTGGGGGAAAAACACACACTATGTATGTTGTAAGTAATGCATGTCTTATCTTATATAACATTATATTGATTGATTGCTTTATTGTTTCAAATAAGATAAATTTGCCTTTTTCAAGTACCAACAGTGTAAACAATAGTCATCATCTTTTCTCGTATTCACAAGCTCAGTTTTTATAAGATTCTCAATCAAGAATAGAGGATGTGAGGTCATTTACTGATAGTATGTTGAGTCAAAAGGTCTATTCTAGCATTTTTAAGCTTACTATGATGACACAATCCTCAATAAAGGTTGTGGCATAGCAGATCAACACAAACTAACTTGTTAACATACCAACTGATGAACTGCAATCATTATTCCTGTTTTTGTGACAAATTCTAAGAGACACAATCCTGTATTTATTAATGGTAATCATTTGTTCATCAGTTGTAACACTATCAATCGGTTCTTGAGAATTTTCTGTGAAATGTCTCTAATTGTGTTTGTAAAGATGCAGATTGCCTCCATTCAGACTGTAGACCATAACAGTTTAGACTGATTCCTCAAAGCAGGGTTTCCCAGAGGAAGTTGATTTTCTAGTAATTAGATTTTAGCAGTCATACAAATATTAACTACCTTAACCCTCACAAAACATTTCTGGATTAGTCAAGCTTGTTTTTACTCCCCTGTGAGACAAAATGGTGCATCATTTCTTTAAAGCCAGTCCATTTTTCACCAGAAACAGAGAATCTACTGGAGTTTCTGGTTCCATTTTTACCCCTTTACAGCCATTTGAACTTGTGCGAGCAAAGAGCAAGGGAGTTAATGAACACGGAGAACACCGAGCGATGTGTGCCACTAACAAATCCTAGAGAATAAATTAAAGGGGGCTGCAGTTTGATCGCTGGGTTCCATTTCCCTTATCTCAACAAGTCACATTTTCAATCACTATGCAAAGATTTTACATCGGGTGTAGGCTCAGTGCTAATACACTGCCCTTCCCTGTGTCATCACCATCGACCTACGCTGGGCTGTCAAACATGCGGCAGCTTCTACACAGCATTAGTAATTTCATGGGGACATGCATTTATGCGAAATGGAATCTTGCATTGCCCATGACACCAAGTTGTCCACATTAAGAGAATGCCCAGTGTAGCATATGCATATGCACCCCAGTATGTGTTGATTGAGCAGTCTTTCTTTAATGAAATATCTTCGGAAATTGGTTTCCACAGACTAATCAGGCAGCCCGCTAGCCGAGTTTCTGTTTTGGTAATTATCTTGTACTAATTAGAATGAAGCTAAAGACCTCTGAGATGAATTCTCAGCTTTCTGAAATGTAACTAAGGAAAATGTAATGATATAAAATGAGCCTATTCTATACATCCTCTCGGACGTAATATCTTCGTTAAAGTGACCCAATTGAATGTGGTATTGATGAACAGCCTGATTCCATCATGGCTACCATTAAACGTCCTTTCAGTATGACGCTCATCCTGTCTTTCCTTCAGCATTGCAACATGCCAGAAACCTCCTGGGGTTACAAACAACCAACTGTAATTCCTTCTCTATACACAGACCAATCTAACAGATTAGTATCAGTGACCTTTTGGCTCATCTTCTTGTTAAGAAAACATCCATTAGCCCAATTAATCTCCAAGGGTTTGAGGAGAGGAGCATTGTCTAGAGAGAAAGGAGAAGCTGCAGTGTAGTGAGATGCCTACCTTGCGCCTCTCCCCATTGAAGCCTCTCCACTGCTCCGCCTTTTTGACAATGTAGCTCAGCTCCTGATTGGACAACTCCAGGTCTTGAGGCAGGAAGTACGCCCCCTCCTTGGCTGTGAGCCGCTGGAAGACGTCCAGCATGCGACCATCGTTGTGGAATCTAGAAGTTGTGGTGTGAGAGAAGAATTGAGGAGGGGGAAGTGGTAGCAGGAGTGATGCCATACTGAATCACTGTCTTTGCCCTGTAAAGGTCACACGGGGTCAAATGTCAAAGCAAGGAAAATACATGCATCTTTCCCTCATGTCAAAGATTATAATTGTGGATAACTAGCTGGGTGGCTACCTCTGTGCCAAACAGCATTATGTCCTATTTTTCACTGTCATATAGGCTGGCTTTTATAGAACAGGTCAAATCCCGATGATCCCAACTTGCTGGAAGAACACATGAATCTTCTATTGATTACACAAAGCATGTTTGCAGTGTAAGTATAATACATCAATTCAAACACAATGAAAGAGCAAAAGGAATCAAACAAATTGGCCTGTGAGTGGGAAGCACTTTGTTAACACAAGCTGACTGTATCAGTGTCTGTGTTTGGCTGTGTGTCTGCGTGGCTGTACATCTGTTAAAGTGTGGGAGTCAGATCCTGGGATATTCTTCTTCAGTGTTAATGCTAGAGCTTCAAAGATGGCAGATGCAACGGACGTGCTGGTTGCAGATGTGTCTGGAGAGACCGGACTGAGTCACAAGAAAACGTTCGGCACAGCAGAAGGCATATTGATTCATACCTCCAGATGAGTGCACATCACCAAAGTGTTATTTTTCTTTTGCCACACAAGGGTGCATGCAGCCAACCTCTAAAAAAAATCACCATGTCTGTAAACAAATGCCTTGGCTGACCATCAAAACCAGAAGACCTTGTGCCCTTCCATAGAGATTCTAGTCTGTCAGAGGGTAATCAACTCTCAAATAAAACCAACATCAAGGAGACCGGGATTTATACAAGAAGCTGGTACGGAGCTTTGAACTCAGCATCATTCCCCATCGCTCTTGGGAGAGGGATGTTTGTAGAATCTTGACCTCAGACACAGGAATAGCATGCATTCATTTTCATCCTACACTTGAATTGTGCTTCTCATTCATTTATGCGGTCTCTCTCTTGGAGGAATTCACCATCTTTGTATCCTTGTGCTTGAAAACTGGCTCATTTCCCTTAGTGTTGGAAGTGCCCTGAATGTAAGTTTGTGTTACTTATATCTGGGGTATGACCTGGATGATAAGGCTCTCATCAGCTCTTCTTCAGTATAGGGGTCACCTTAAGGACATGTGTTAACTTATGGAATACATTTTAGCAGAATATTCATGATAACACGTCTATGGTGGATAAAAAGGGAAGGTTACTTTTGCGTACCTGTGTACATTAAATGCATTCAAACTGAATTTGAAGAATTATGCAATTTTTTCTATATAGCTTTAATTGCCAAACAATAGAAGAGTGTCCTACTTTCCAATCTCATACCAGTACACATTAATTTCACAAGATATAACAGCCAGTGCATTCTTCATTTAAGAAGAGGTGATCAATGAATAATTTGGCTATGGCTATGGTGTCTCACTGCTCCCTTATCCCTAAGTCCCTGTTAAAACTGTATGTTGCATGTGTAGATGGGTGACAATTTAAAGGATAAACCAACACAAATCTCGTAGTCTCTGGAACCCTCTCTATGCTCCCATAGGTGTTCAATTGATCCACATAATTTTCATTCTCATAAAACCTTTCAATGACCCCTCAGGTCCAGTATGTCATGTTTCTCCACTCATTCATTCAGGTTTTTAATTTCATTTGTCACCCGTTTATACATATAATCATGCAAACTTGTGTACTAAATATCTTTTAACACAGACACCCACACAAACAGAGAAGCAAAGTAATTGCACAAGGGAACGCAATCTAAGACATTTTTGTTTAGTCTTGAACCGTGTAATAATTTGGATTTAACTGCACCACTATCAGTGTAACATCACTCTCTTTGGTGTTTATGAAGTTTCAGGGAGGATAGAGGTGTAAAACGCATCACTGATGTGTATTTTCGCAGCCAGTGAATAAAGGCTGCCTAAAATGTAATTAAAAAAGGATAACAGTCCATTCTATCTATACATATAGCCCGAGGCATTTTTTTAGAAATAGGTCATGCTCTGTGTCAGAGCCCCTTCCTTGCAGCCAATAGGAAACTGTAACCCATAAAATTATCAGCCTTGCTTCAGCCTCGTGGCCTACATTCAATACAAACCCGTGTGGCGGTTGAGTGGCAGAAGTCATTATTCCCGGCTGCTGTTTTAATATTGTCCATTTAGCTGGAGCCCGATAAGCGTCCCGCTTACTGAAATTAGATGGCACCCTCTCCTCAGCCGCCAATCTCAAACTGATTAATTCAATAAGGGTTTTCTTACATTTTGAGCCGTTAATGGAATTTGGTCTTATATGAGGGTGGGAGAACACACCTTGGATGAATACTGAGTTACATTATTCAGTAATTTATCACCCGCCCTTCTACTTTTTTTTTTACTTCCATACTGCAAAGAATGATGTCCTTCTATTATTTAAAAAGTGCAATAGTCATCTTTTAAGCTGGAAATTTGGAAGCAGTGGTTCTGCTGTGTTTAAGTCCGCCCTCGCATTGCAACAGAGTGTCAATCTCCTGTAATTTTCTAAAACTGACAAAAAAGCTATGTTTAACTCAGCCAGTGAGAGATTCTTACTGAATGTTTTGTTTTTATCGTTCATTCCTACAAATCAGGAAGCTTCTAACCGCTCTGAAGAGGACATGAAACCCTAGTTGAAATTTTTTTTAAACAGTCTGAGGTGCTAAACCATAATACAAAACTAGCAAGTGAATGCTTCAGCATGGATGACCTCAATCTGCAAGACATGAGTGGAACACACAGTGCGTTAAGATGCGAGTACATGTGTGCACCACCATGTATATGCAGTCCATTTTAGTCTGTATGAAACCTGCAGCGATACCAACCATGCAAAACATTCAGCCTAATCGTATAATGTAAGGGGGTTACATGTTCACGCTATATCAAAACACATCTAACTTTTGAATTAGAAACGCTTTCAATTTTCCAACCAATTGCAGAGTTTGGTACATTCAAAAAAGGCAACTGTGTGGTGTGTGTGTGTGTGTGTATTTCCGCTTTTGTGTCTGATAACTAAATGTGTGTTTGTGTGAAGATGTGTGAGGTTGATGCATAACTGCATAAGTAATTCCATGCGACTATAAAATCAAAATGGATTAACTCAACATTTGTTTTCATTTTCTGTTGTTTTTTGTGCTTTTCTGTGGACAGAGGAAAGAAGGGAAAAATGGCGGATGGGGAACATGGCACGAAGCTGCAGGGGTGGAGAGTTGAGAGTTATTTCTGAACAGGTGCTTGAGAATAGTAGGCTGGTGAGGGCCAGAGTGTTTCAGAAAGGGTCCTCTTCTTCATTGGCAGACTGTCCCTACAGGCTGCGTCAATTCAAAAATATCCCAATGATAATTCTCAGCTTGAGCTGTTTTGTAATGCTTTTCAGCCACCAGGAAGGACAGACACAGAGCTTAAAGTCAAGGGAGAATGAGCTATATGAAACAAAAAAGGAACTGGATTCATTGGAACCGGAATCAATTCTATTTATTGAACAGACTTTAACTTGGCTCCTTTTTAGGTTGCACCTGACTGATGCGCATGGCTCATTTCTGTTCATGGTAATTGGTCAGCACGCTGAAAACAAACATGAAATTCACAGTTAGCCAAGTGATAGCCATTGGATCAGGTCACCATCTTCCTGTGTGTCTCACCTGAGCAGGTAAATGGTGAGGATTGTGATGGAGAGCAGGAATAGCACTGCGTAGAGGAAGAGAGTGATGATCACTCCCGCTCCACCTGATTGGTCAGCTCGATAGAAGTGCCAGTAAAGCTTGGCTGCGTCACCCACCGGTGTGTCTGGGCTGTAGGCGAGATGCTGAGGAGACAGAGATTGAAAGAAAAAGGAGAAAAAGAAGACAAATCTGTAACAGTTAGATGTATGAGACTGGACGTTTGCAATATGGTGAAGCTCTTGGCCAGTACAGATTGATCAAAGGAAGACCACATGATGGCTCAAGGACTAGGTTTCACATACTGGTCAGCTGGTGTTCCTCTTACTTCTTACATCTTAGATTGAGAAATACAATAAGTACAAATATAAGTTATTATTATTTGGTCAGACATAACCATATCAGTGTAAATTAACTTCTTCTTGTCAAGTGACTGACAACTCTGAACAGTCCAAATCATTTCAGCCTTCCTTACTGACAAAATCCAACCCACTGCCAAAAAAGACACCCATCTACCCTTGCACATTTTCTTTCTCACCCTCTCCCCTCCCCCCTTTTTTGTAATCTAAAGTCACTTTGCCAAGATAAAGTGAACTCCTATTTAAAGTGCACAAGTGTCCAAGTTATTTTTAAGTGACTTACCCCGAGGACAGCGTCCACTGCAAAGACTGCCAGGGGGTCGAGGACTGTCCACACTCCCTGAGCCATGATAAACTTTGACGTGAAGGAAGGGAGTGAGCCAAATATCTGTTGACAGCCCCATCTGATCAGAACCAGCAGGAACGTTACTGCATTCAAGGTCAGGGGACCCACCACCACCATCGCCAGCTCCTCCCGGGTGTGGAGCAAAGAACTCTGGTATACGAGGTCCACCGTGTGCGCGTGGAACTGGAATCTGGAGGGAGAGGAAACAGAGGCGGGAGATGTGCGTGTGGGTAGACTAGAGCATGAAGTGTGTGCACATGTCAATATGCGTGTAGTATATTTGTGTTTGTGATGCTTTGCAGCTCAAGGGCGATTGGTTCCAGCAATTCACACACTATGTTATATTGTTTGTAGTTGATTCAATCATGTGTAATTAGTTTGATGACATTTAACATGATAATTGGCTGGTTTACTGCCGTTTTCTGCCTTACCAGTCCCATGTGATGTGCTTAAAGAAAACTTTAATTGGCTTCATAATTTGTATAGACATCAAATTTAATAAAAAATAACACCTAAAAGAAAAACAAAATTGAAAAGACAGATGCTACAAGTATCGGTATTAATACCTGTGTTAACACAAATCAGATGGAAACTTGAGGAAGCTTTTCCCAGCCCCCTATTGTAAGTTAGACTCCACATTTACCGCAAGCCTCATGAGTTTCTTAATCTTCCCATCAGTCAGGAGGAGGCAGAGCCAGTGGTGGGAGAGGAGAGGTCCAGTTTTTGCTCATTAATTTCGATCTGATTTGCTCCAAGAGTCAAGCGTCTCTCAGATTCTGTCCATTAATCTGACAGTGGAGGTCCATTGGTGCTTTATCTGAGGCAAATCTACAAACACACAGATTCAACCCTCCAAAAGTCCTTTCAGAGCACCGAGATTACCTCACTGCATGACCGGTACAGACAGAGGAGTTTAATGTTATTTTTTAACACTGTGGGATTCTCTTTTCCAGATAAATTACACTGTTAAATCTAATTCCAAGAATGACAGGGGAATATTTCATTTATAGTGAATCTTGATATGATACGATGAAACTTTAATAAATTTGACATTGCATTTTGACATTGGCAGCATCATTCCATATCAAATATTGATGGTGGCAGCATCATTCCATATTAAATCAGATCTGGTGTCTCTTCATATGTGTGTGTTGATATGTCAAAACTTGTGGTACTTTTGTAATTTGGTTTTAGCATGTACAGTGCTTTTGCAAGGGGATGTGCATTGAAAGTAACTAAGTACATTTATTCAAGGACTGTAGTCAACCACAATGTTATGCTACTTCATACTTCTGCCTACACACAAACGGTCCAATATATATATCACAGATGGGTACTTTTACATTTAGTTTTAGTTAAGTAAAAGTGTTGTATTACTACAGTGTCAGCTTATAAATAACAAAACAAAAATAACAAAAAGAGAAGAAAGGAAAGCTCAGCTTTAGGTGTGTGAAGCAGCACTACGGACAGAGACTCCATTGCTCCTGGGCAAACCTTGCTGTCCGCTGATGTCCGAGGGTGGATTATGGGGGGAAGGATGAGGCAAAGAGAGTCAGAGAGGAGGAAAAAAGTGGGTGAGATAAAAACAAAAAGGGAGGGAGGCCTGTCATCACACTAACCACTAGACTGTCACTTGGTCTCTCTCTCTTTCTATCTCTCTCTCACTGGGCACCACCAGCTCTGGCCATTGCATGGAGAGAGAAATGCTTGGAGGGAGAGCAGCAGATTCGGACATGTGGAAGTTGTCATCTGACGTTGACCCCCACTGTTTTCGCATTTTTGTTTTTTCACCTCCTATCCAACCCCTCAGTCCATCCTTTTTTGTTTTTTATTCAGCCACATTTGTTTTTCTCCGTCAGCCTTCTTCTATCACTTTCCATGATTTAACACGTGATGTTTGCACCCCCATGTTATTGTAATAAAAACCTGCTTGTGTGCATGTTTGTAGCCAGCTTGTTTTATTGTGAATGAATTAAATCAGCACCATATGCCATTGAGATGTGATTTAACAGTTCTGTGGTATCTTATTGCTGTTTATTATCAATGCTGTGTACCAAATAATAACAATAAATTCCTTCCAAATAATGTAGCCTTTTGGGACTTAAAGCCGTGTGGTGAAATCAACAAACTCCCCCAGCAATGGTTTGTTAATATTGAGAGTCTTGTTAAAATGTTAATGGGGAGATTCCAAACAGATGATTTGGGCGTATCCAGAGTGTTTTTGTGTGTGTGTGTGTGTGTGTGTGTGTGTGTGTGCATATTTGCCAACACACACACTCTGCACATCCTCTGCTTCTTTCCATCTCCACATGCCATTTCACCAGAACCACACTTTGCATGTGTGTGTTTGAGCTTGCATACATGTCTGTTGTGTTGCGTGTGAATGTGTGTGTGTGTGTGTGTGTGTGTGTGTGTGTTTGCATCTGCAATTTGCCTATGTGCCTCAGTAATCAATGTATGTATCTGCTCTCCATGTAAAGGGATTTATGTCATCAGCAGCGTGGTCGTCAGAAATTGTCTATGTAGTTCTGCTCTGTGTGTGTATCCATACACCCCCCCCCGCCCCTACGTGTGTGTGTGTGCGTTCAGGGCGATATCAAAGGAAGCAAACTCACTTGTTGACAGGAACTGCTATGGCCTGGAGGTAGAGCCACTGGCTGCAGTAATGCAGGTAGAGCCTCACAAACCACATCAAAGCCAGCAGCAGCATAATGAGGCCGAGCTGCCGAACGGAGCCACGCCAGCTACTATGCGGCTGTTGTTGCCGCGGCAACGGCAGGCCCAGCTCGGACGGCAACATGCGGAGGGTCAGGCGGGCTCGGTCGGACAGGCGTGAGGGGCAGGAGCCAGATCCAGTCAGTACTGAGCTGTTTTAAGACAAGGGGGAGATAAACACATATGACAACTTAATTATTTTCTTTACTTTTTCTGTTCTAATGATAATAAATTCAAACACCTACACAATAATTACATCCTTAAACTATCAAATGTCCCAGAACTAACTCTTTCTATCTTTTATTTAATTTTTTAACACAGGATGATTACAGTAAACAGTACATGAATGACAGTGTCAATTTAATAATACTAAATATATCTATATGACCTAAATCGATAAAAAAAGTAATTCTTACAGTAATACCACAACCACCTGCTACCAGACAGTGGAAACACTACCATTTTGTCCACAGGGCCGCCAGAATCAACACAAAATCAAAGTTTCTTGTAGCTGCTTTAAATAGTAGAATACAGTGAGTGGTTACAAATATAAAGATGGGTTCCGAGATGAGATCTAATGACGTTGTGGATTCACATTGCAAATACTTCCTTTACTTTGCATGACATGTAGTATTCAAATGCATGTTTTTGCTATCATTCATGCATACATTTGATGTTTTGGAATATTACATTTCCCTAATGTATATTGAAATTGACACACATGTGCACAAATGTACTCTCACACACACACGAACACACAAATAGATAGGAATCCCTTCCAGCAGTGCTTAGTTTCCCTCAGCACCTCTGCCTCCTCTGTGCCGCCCTTTGTCAGGCCTGCTCAACTATTCCCTTTCATATAGAGGGCACAGATGGAACAGTGGAGGCGAGAGGAGGCAAGAGAAGAGGAGAGGAGAGGAAAATGAAATGATGTTAGAATGGGCTGATAACAGCATTTAAAAATGTCATACACCACATACAACACTGTACACTGTGTGCCTGAGTGTAGTAAATTTGTGTGTGTAGCTACGTGTATTGACATCCATTTATTATATTCTCAACATGTCAACACAAGCAGACACCGATGACCCCCATCGTCTGGCTGACAGTAATTAGACCAAGGCTAAAGTAGGTGTATACAGTAGAGCTATGGTTAGCATCACAGAGTATGACTGAAGGCCTTTGCCTGTGGACATCCCTGTGTCTCACCACTGTGTCCCAGAGCACAGTTGGAATTCACTTTGTAGTGTGTATCTAGGGAAAATGGTACACTGCCTAAAGACTAAAAATGAGAAAAAAAACAGAATCAATTGTATTGCACCCCCCTCGCCAAATAATTAGGCTAGACTTACATCAAAATGCACTATTGTGTTTTCCTCTGCTTGTATTGCTGCAGAAATACGAACTGCCACGCAGTTGCATTTAAAACGAAAAGGAGATGATCTTCACTGTTCCTGTGAGGTGGGCACACTCTCCGAAGTGTTAAATTATTTGAAGTTATCAAGTTCCTTAGTGGATGCACAGAAGAGCAGTGGTGTAGCTTACAGTACACGTGGGAGAACTCGACATTCATTCAGAAAATGCTCAGTCAACAGTTTGAGCTGATAAATATTCATAGCCCGGCTGAAATAAACCCAAGCAGAGAGGATAAACATCTGTCATAGAAGTCAGCTACCGGTCAGTTCTGTGGTTGACGCTTTAAAATACAGCATGTATGCCCAGAATTCCACTGCATACACTGATGCACTGTATCGCTGTATACTTCCTGTGTGAGGTCAGTGAGATGCTCCACATAAAAGATAATATATGCAATAGGGATGTAGGGAGAATTACATTGCATCTATTGCTTTTTCATTACATGTAAATTAAATCATCTGAAGGCACTGTTTACTGTTGTTTGCATTCTACTATTAATGTTACATGAAAATAGCAGCTATTTATAATGCGCTGCCACGGCCTCCATATTAATGAATGACACTGACGATAAAGATGACTTTAAAGTCACTACCCTGAATCTTTAGAGGCAATTACTCCATGAAGCAAAGAAGACATACTTGACAATAAAGATTTACAGGAAATGTTGCCAAAATAGTTTTTTTTTTCTTCAGCTTGTTGAAAAGTGTGCAATTCCAGTGTCAAATGTGTGTTTATGCAAGATTTTGAAGTGTAACGCAAACAGAAAGATGATAATGTATGAGCAAATGTGTGTCTCTGCGTCCCTATTGTGATTTTGAAAAAGGCACTTCCATTCTGGTCCAAGCTTTATCACGGCTTGCTTCACTGTGTGGTTTAAAACTGCTTTCCACACGTCTGCAAAAGTGGAATTACAGAGTAGACAAAAAAGCAGTGTGTCACAGACGCAGGCAAGATGCTACCCTGTCAAGTAGCATTAAACGAAAATGGCAAATACAACCTGACGCCCATCTTTCATATAATGAAGATATTGATGATGCATGAAAGAGGAATATTTTTAGACGTCTTCGTGTGGCGGCCTCTTCCAAAGGAAACTGGTAACAAGATGTGAAATCTGTTATCACCATTGAATTGATTTCATTATGGCACCTCCAATTACAAAAGTACAATACAGAAAAAGAGGGAAAGGCAGGGGGTGGAGGTGTGGGCTTTTTATCTTGCAGGAACGAAGGATGTTTCATTCCAATATCACAGCTTGTCCCCTGAACGACTGATAGCATGTGGCGTAGCGGCCCAGAGATGAAACTAACCATTTGAACAGGCATGCATTGGCACATAATACTATATTTTAATTGTAGTTTATATTATTCTGTGAAATCTGGGCCAGAAGCTGTTCCCTCATTATCTTTTGATATGTTTATTGTTCATTCCCATGTCATCAAAGCACATTGCAAAGGGACTCATCATCCTCCTTAAACATTGGCACAGAGTGCCAGCGCCCGTAAATCAGATTTAACTAGCGTATATCTGTCAAGTACTGGAGTAAGAACCATCTCCTGGACTGGTTTTCCCAGGCTGTGTCCCTAAATGTTGCATGGCATGACAGCAAAACGGGAGCAGTGCTCTTAAAAATAGCACAAAGTGAAAAGCAAGTACAGACAAGTATTAAACCTTAAAGACGGCATGGGTAATGAGAGATGGAGGAGCGGAGGGAGGAGAGGAGTACAGTGGGCTGTTACATTTTAAATAGCAGATTTATGGTGAGAAGGCTCCAGGGCCGAGGAGAGTGAAGGTAACCCTCAGAATCCCTCCACATTGCCCTGATGGCTTAAACCCTCCAGTCTAAGGCCACTTAAAGTATTGGACTTATCCCTTTATTTTGAGGATTAAGTTATTTTCTGTCACTTTCTTATTTGGGCCACCGGCATTGTTTATAAATGCGCTAAAACCACACATCTTATTCCACATAGTCGAGGAATGGTTTGCTGTTGGGGAAATAGAGAAAGCAAAGATACAGTGTGAAAACAGACTTAAAAGATTGACAGATAACGTGATTGTTTTGGCCCAGATGCACAAGTGTTGTGGTGATTATGGAAGTGTGATTATCTTAGGTGTCAAGAGATAGGACTGAAGATACCACATCTTTGTTTACATTTCATTTTTGAAGAACGCTGATAATGCATTTGTTTTGGATTGTGAATATATCTGTCATCTGTCCTATGTGGGTTGCACAACCAGTTCCTTTTCTAAGGCTTTGAATGTAATTGAAAAAAAAAAAACTTGGTGTATACATGTGGCAATGTAAACAAAATGTCAAGTTCAAATCTAAATTGTTTTAATTAAATTTTTAAGCTATTAAGAGGGCCTAACCCAAACCCAAAACAACATCATGAGCAACATATCTTTAATGATGGAATGACAACTAGAAATGTAGTTTTCCTACCTCGTTGTCTAACTGTAACAGAGCACAGACGTTACTAAATCTAAATACCAAGGTGTATGTGTTTATCAGTTTCCGTTTTACTCACAGCTCAGATTTATCTTTTATCTTATCAGATTTATTTGATTAAACTCATAGGAGTTTAGTTTTTTATGACAATGCAGGTCAGAGGCAATATGGAAGAAACAGAAGCCATATTACTGCTAAAATGCTGGATTGGGAAACGCAGATGTTACACGGGAAGAGAAGTCTAATATTTGCATAAATAACCTATGGGATCAATCCACAGGCAGTCAAAGGTTAGCCAGTGAAGGACTTTATAATAATGCCCTTGTCAAAGCAATGAAATGCACTGCAAGTATCCAGTAAACAAACACATCAACACACACACATACTGTACACATATACACACTGAATGACCTTGATAGTGCTGTTTGGAATTTCCAAAGACAACAATTTACCATTATTATCAAAGGTCATTCTCATTCCGAATATCTGCGTGTTTAGATAATATATACTATATGATTTAAGCTCTCAGCTATCGTATATCCATATGGTTACAGATAAAACATACAGCATACAAGTTCCTGTGTAAGGACAATGTGTTTTTATATTAACATGCGTGAACAAATGTGCATACTGTATGTATGCCAGTCCAAGTTTACATCATGCCCAGATGCTATGGTCATTCTCACAGCGGAAACATTAATATTTAACTGTCTATTTACTGCACTTACGCAGAAGCACACAAGTTTACGTAATGACTGGCATATAAGCAGGGCTTAGCACAGGTGGGGCAAATATAATTCAGGAACCAATGAAACCTCACAAAGTGGAAATCACAAAGAAAACCCGCTCCCACAAGATGTATTAAATGATAATCATTGGTTACTAAACTAGTATCATTTTTGCAAAGCACCTTGAATATGCGTGTGCATAAAAACAAGTTGAACAGAGCAGCATATGCCTGCAAGCCTTTTAGATAATTGAGTCATTTTTATATCATCTTGAGAGAAGTTTTATTTATACTGAAAATAAAAAAAATAAAAAATTGCTTCAGATTTAAGTTTGTGCTCCCTCTTGCTCTCTCACTCTCTCTCCTCTTTTTTAATTTTATTTGTTCCAAGAACAATTACCTTACCATTTGGGGGCTTTATAAGCATAGTTTTTTACACAGACCCTGGCAAAGCGAGAATACACATAAATGAGTTTCATTGACAAAATGGGAGCACAGTGGCAGGTATTTGGGGTGTAGTTAAAAGAGAATTATGGAATAGTGACTCAGCTGCAGAACTGGAG